CCAACACTGGGAAACACCCACACTATGGCCGATATAGTTTATTTAATTCACCTATAGAGCATGTCTTTGGACTGTGGGGCAAACTGGAGCACCTGGAGAAAACCCACACAAATACAGCGAGAACATGCAATCTCCACACAGAAATGCCAATTGTCCCAGCTTGAACTTGAACCAGCAACCTTCTTACTGTGAGCTGACAGTGCTAACCACTGAGCCACCATGACACATATTTTATAATATATCATATACTTTTTTGGAAGAGACAAAAATACATAAAAAAAAAAAAAAAACTACTGCTCAGGAGAAGAAAAATCTATTTCACTTACTGTTTGAAAACGTTAAAAAACCTGTTATGACAAACCATTTTTTTAATAGCTGTGGTAAGGCACAAATTTGTGTAATGTTTTTGCTTAATGCAACATTTCTCTGAATGAATTAAATGCTTAATTTAACTAAAACAAGATCAAATCTGAATAAAATATATTTTGCCAAAGAACAACTGTTAAGTTAATTCCCCCTGTAAAAAAACAACCCTGTTGTTTTATGGAAATGATTTGATGCAGCATTTAAAACTTTGCAGTTTTAATTTTGACTAAAGCAGTGACCTATTTTAATAACTAAAGTTAAATAAATAAAACGTAATTAATTAACCTATATAAACAACAAAACATAATACAAATAACAAAAAAACAGTCATATTTTTTTAAGTACACGTTAAAGCCCTTAAGCCAACTAACGTTACAGATTTTTTTAACCCCGCTTCATAAGGTTCCTCATGATAATTTGTCATACACTGACAACACAAAAAGTCTAACGTTAACGGACTAGCGTTAATTCAATATCTTTTTCAGATATTCTGAAGACAATGTTGGGGTTCAACTACAGACAAGTGAATTACACATATAAAACAACAAAACAAAAAAAAAACCAGAATGTACCTGATGTAAAACCACATTGGTGTCTGGGATTAAATAGTGAGGATATGGGCAGAGGTTGCTTTCTATACAAGTTTCTTCTTGCAGCACCGGAGCTTCATCTTTGCACTCCTTACAAACTTCACTTCCACACCAGATGTCATCTCGGAGATAATGTTCCCGTACGATTTTCAACACTCCGCCAGAACGGGTCTTTTTTACAAATGTTTTGGACTTCAACATGGTCAAGCTAATGGTCAAGCGGTTTTGAAGAGCTGTTCCACCAAAACACAGCACACAGTGAACCCGCGTGTGCAGCCGCGCGCCGCCTCTATATTGTTCCGGGGTGATTCAGCGACATAAAGGTTCCTAGTCTTACTTACAACGAAGAACCAAAGTCACTTTAAGTGTATTCTATAATATTTGGCTGAACTCACACATGCGCCGATAAAATGGCTTACAATGTGTTTGAAAATGCTGTAAATTATTGGGAGGCTGTAAGCAGTTAGAGCATGTTAATCTTCTGTCATTTTACGTTAGCTGATATGTTCACTCTATTCAACACTAGATGGCGGAAAATTCCTACGATTCACGAAAATTTCGACATCTTTGACGACATTTTAGCTCTAGTAACCTGAAAATATTTAATTACAGTAAAGATTTAGTCTACTAGCCACAGTCAAATGATTAAACATAACAATAATTCGGCAATCAGCTTTTTTAAAGGAATTTGACTTGCTGTTAAGGAGAGCTCAAACAGAAAGTTTATTAAAACTGCTTGTATTCAATACATTTGTTTCTGTGTAATAGCAATGTCTTTAAGATATTGTTCTTTATTTAATGCTTAAGAATTTTATTGTTATTTATAATGCATATCTGTGCCCAACTGATATCCCAGACAGCACACATACGTTGGGCCGACGTCGGCCGAAGGTCAACACGTCGGCCCCTTTAATTCTAACATCGGTATATGGTCGGCCAAACATACGCATGATCGTTCGGTCGTGTGTTCTATTGTTCCAGCTCAACAAACGTCGGCTCTGCGTCGGTTAACGACCAGAGGCCGACGAAGCACTTCATAAGCACTTGATCTCTCATGCCCATGAAAGAATCCGGCAACATATTTGGTTTACAAGTAAGTTTTTGCGTGCATAATAAATTAGACAAACGCGACATGCATCATGTGAACTGCGTCGGTCGGTCCAGCTTTAAATAGCCTACATTAATGCAGTAAAACTGACCAAAATGCCTACAATACATGATTTCAATTCATTAAAATATAAAAAGTTTTATTGTTATGCTTTAATAATGAAAAAGTTGTTTTTTTCTGGTGTTAACTGCTGTTTGCTTTTTTTTATTGTGGCTTTTTCTAATACATTTTTCCCAGTGTAAAAATCAAGTATGTTCTGCATTTCGGCTGTTTAATTAAAATAAACACCTTTTTACAGAGTGACATCTTTGTTTTATATATACTTGCATTTATATTTATTGGTTATTTATTTTTGACAGTGAATGCACAAATAAAGTGTTTGTTTTGTAACAGTTTAGTAGGCTATAAAGCTCGTCTTAAAGATAATAGCGTATATAAAACTGCTAAATACATTTTAAATTCAAGATATAAAATACAAGGTTATTATTTAAATTGTCTATGGAGTGATCATGTTTATAAATGTAATACTGCATGACTTTGATGTGCGCGCGCGCGTCTTGCTTCCAACACTGGAGCGGAGAGGATGTTGCTATGGGAAACGAAGCTACGACACGACACCACCTAAAAGACACAACACGACTTCTCTCAGGCTGCCGTTTTGACTGTTTTCAGGTAAGTTTAGTCCCTAAAACAAAGCAAATACTACATAAAACTGTTCCTCACACATTTATTATTGGCAATTGATGAATATTCTGTTGAATATTATGTTATATAAGAGTGGTAAGTCTTCGTAAAAGTCCGTTAGCATATTAGCACTGGTAACGTTAGCGTCGGGGTAATATTACGTTAACTTACTTAATGTTAGCTCTTGTTAAACTTGTTTGTTAAAGTTTTGGCTTTTATTTATTCTTTATGTGTAGATGAGAGGTTTTGTCAATGTTTTATTGAATGCACTCGATATGTAGTCTAAAATACGCATTGTAACGTTACTGTAAAGGACCGTGAATCAAAAGTTCAATCGTGTTTTGATATTTCATGGTATCTTAAACTAAATGTTAAGTAAAAAAGTGTTCTGTGGTTTCAGGAGTGAGAGAATAACCTCCTGCTACAGAAAATATAACTCAAGATTCCTAAATTTCTGAAGGGAGCTGATCACAGAGATACAGGAAAGACAGGTAACTTTAAGCAGATGATTAATTCATATGAATTTCCATTGCACATCATTATGCACATGTTACATGTCTATATATTATGCATCTGTTACTTGTCTTTATTGCAGTTGTTTTAAGAAAGTTTTGACATTGAAACATGTGAGTGGTATTAAATTTCACATCACATGATTCTTCAGAACTTAGTAAATATATAGATTTGCTGCTAATGAAGTAATATTTGTGATTTTCATTTTGTTTAATTTTTTATGATTAATTGATTTATTAAATCTTAGAAAAAAGTTTACACTAAATTATTTGTCATCACATCTGTTTTTAGCATTGATAGCAATCCGAAATGTTTCTTGAGCAGCAAATCAGCACCATTTGATAATCACCATTATATTAGTTCAACCTCAAGCACTAAATCAACATCTTAAAAAAAGATTTCTGAAAGATCAAGTGACACTGAAGACTTGAGTAATGATGCTGAAAATTTAGCTTTACATCATAGCTATGAATTACATGTATATTTACACTGTTCACCCATCCCTTACACCTTAACTCATCCTTAAGTCAATTTAAGCCCTAAATGAATAATTTTTGATTTGTACAGACATGATATGCAACTTGTATTCAGTCGTTTTGTTTTTTCTTTCTTTTGCTTTTGTTTTCCACATCAACTGAAAAGGAGGTCTAAGTTTAACCTAAGTGCCGTGTTGCTGATGAACATCTTTATATGTAAGTATATTTTTGATTGACTGCCAGACACTTGTCAAACAGTGATGAGCAAACGAATGGCCGTTCTTTTAAAAAGATCAGGGAGATGCAAGTCTGGAGATTAATATACATTTTAATTCAAAATTGATTTATCTGGAAATATTTCATAATGTTTTGAGATATGTGCCCTATATGCATTTAGATGTCCATGCATGTTTAAAATACTTTTAAATTTAACAATGGCTGCAAGTTATAAAAACATAAACAAACACAAAAATGTTAAAGTAAATTGAGAAAACATTTTCATCAGTTTGACAACAGGTAGATCAGCTCCTGACATGTTAACAGATCAGTTTAACTCTTATTAAATTCATTCATTCATTCATTCATTCATTCATTCATTCATTCATTTTCTTTTCTGCTTAGTCCCTTTATTAATCTGGGGTAACCACAGCGGAATGAACTGTCAACTTATCCAGCATATGTTTTACGCAGTGGATGCCCTTCCAGCTGCAAGCCATCACTGGGAAACAACCATATACGCTTGTTCTCACTCATACACTACAGACAATTTAGCCTACCCAATTCACCTGTACCCCATGTCTTTGGACTTGTAGGCAAAACCGGAGCACCCAGAGAAAACCCACCAAACGCAGAGAGAATTTGCAAACTACACACAGAAATGCCTGCTGATCCAGCTGCGGCTCGAGTCAGCATCCTTGCTGTAAGGCGACAGCACTACCTATTGTGCCACCACGTCACGCTCTTATTAAATTATATTTATATAATTTTGTGTTTCAGTACATGCTATTTTGGGAAGACAAAATATATTCATAAGCTCTCAGAAAATTCAATAAGAGAATTCATTCATTCATTTTAAGAGAATTAACTGCACAATTACTTGAAATGCGTGGATGGGATTACATTATTTGTTAACCCAAAGTGAGTTTCTCTTTCTTTGCAGTATTGGATGCCTGATTGCAGTTCAACTCCAAACTCAGTTGGACCAGCTGATCAGTGTCTTCAGTATTACCACAAGCTACTGGGCAGATGTGTGGACAGCTATGAGGACGTTTGGTTTTTAGGTAATACCAGTGACAAAGTATTCAGTAAATTGCTTATAATAAAAGATGCTCACTGCTTACCCCCTTATAGTTAAGTTGTTTGCAGTTTCATTGTTGTAAAAATACCATACTTTTTCCTTTTTTTATCAGCAGGTGTAGAGACCGTCTGGGCAGCAGAAACAAGACAACTAATCATAGTTGAGTTGAGATTAGTATTATTAACTTGACTAGTTTGGTTGCAGACTTGTTCAATACTTAACAATTTGTATAAGTTACAAGATCAATGGTCCTGCTATCAATGTTTGTGTAACTTAAATTCATTACAGTTTAGATACAATCAAATGTCCAAACCATCTCTGAGTGAATGACATCAAGGAAACAGGATCAAAAAGATCATTCATTATAGAATGTTTCATAGGTAACAACACATCCTTTGTAAAAAATAATTTATTTTTGTGTCATCATCACAAGACAAAATACATTTCAACTGATTTCAGTTGGTTATATTTTTCAGGTCCTCCTGATCATTCTGTTCTCCTGGTTGTGAGGATGTGCAGAGGCTGTATTTGTCAGTGTTAAAAGACTTGTGCAGCTGTATGCAGACATACAAGCAGCCGACAAAGAGTTCTGGAGCAGGACAGACAGGTAGTTCACAGTGGCTAGGCTAGAAGTTTATACTTGGGTGGCCAGAAAGTGGCCTCCGCTATTTTGGAGGGTCCATACAAATACACCAGTGTAAGCTATACTATTGCACAGAAAAAATTAAATGAAAGAATTAATTAATCGGTTGAACACAAAATATTTTAAAGAAAGCTTAAGTATCAAGGTGGCAATATACAGTATGTTACATTGTAGCACATGAGCTGGCTAATACAGATTCGTAAATGTTTAGTTGTTAAGATTAGTTAAATACTAAATCCTCTACTTGAGACCTGTTGCATATACAGCTTTACCTGAACTGAATTTAACTAGAACTACACCAGCATTCCAAGTGCTCTAGACTAGCTTTTTGCACTGGTGCGTCTAAAATGTTTGATGGCATTGCATTTAACACTGCAATTTTACATGTTAATTTTTTTTTAAATTACAATCCATATAGGCAATATTGACTTGTAAATGATTAACTAAAATCGGGTCAACACACATTATGGGGATTGTGGGTAGAATTTTGAGGAAATTAATGAATTTAATCCATTTTGAAATAAGACTGAAACGTTAAAAATGTGGAAAAAGTAAAGTATCAATACTTTCCGGATGCATTGTATATGGTTTTTAGCGCGTTATCAAAGACTTAAAAAAATAGTCCAACATTATTTACAGCAGCAAAAGACCCTCCACATCAAAAGCTACTGGTCAGTTCACGATTCAGCAAACATCTGAAAAACAAATAGCTTATTATGCCTTCACAAGAAATCAGTGTTTTAATGAAGAGTCTAATGAAGATAGTACTATTTTATTAAATTATTATTTAGCCTGGCATGTTTACTGTTACAAAATATTTTAAATGTTTCTTAAAATAAAACATATTGTGTTCAATGGGGAAAAGGTAGCTGTTTTTTACACAGAGATAAAAAAAAAAAACACACATTTCAGAGCAGTAATCACAATACTGTGAACCTATGGTATTTTTATCCAAGATTATACCCTCAGAATCTTATACCTGCCCATTCCTAGCCAGTTACTTAAAGCATTCAGTCAGAGTTTTTTTTGTTTTGTTTTTTTCAGTTGGCCTTTATTCTGTTTTTCTATGTTCTTGGAAATGCTGCTGTGCATGAAAATGTGAAGATATATCCAGGTTCTATAGTTAATTCTGAAATAAATCTTAAAATGAAACAATATCTAAAAATGCAATATTTAATGTGTCAGACACTAAATAAACATGTCAATTCATTTATATTAATCTGATTCCTTAACAGGAGAGCACGGTGGTGCAGAGGGTAGCACGTTTGCCTTACAGCAAGAAGGTCGCTGCTTCGAGCTTCGGCTGGGTCAGTTGGCGTTTCTGTGTGAAGTTTGCATGCTCTCCCTGTGTTGGCGTGGGTTTCCTCCGGGTGCTCCGGTTTTCCCAAGTCCAAAGACATAGGTGAATTGGGTATGCTAAAATTGACCATAGTGTATAAGTGTGTGTGAATGAGTGTGTATTGGTTGCAGCTGGAAGGGCATCCGCTGCGTAAAACATATGCTGGATAAGTTGGCCTTTCATTCCGCTGTGGCGACCCCAGATTAATAAAAGGACTAAGCCCAAAAGAAAATGAATGAATGAATCCCTAACAGTTAATATTGGTATAATGAGCAGTAGTTGTCATTCATGTAAATTAATCATTTGAGCGTGCTTAGTTTGGGGTATGTTGTGCCATTAAATTGTCAATAGGTTTATTTTTCTACATTTTAAATCTGCTTTAGCTTTCTTCTTTCCTATAAACCTGGAAATATAAAATATATATATTTTTGGTTTTTAACAAATTGCTCATTTTATTCTTAGATTGGTGTAGGCTGATGGTCTGCTGAGAATTCTGCTGAGTTGAAGGGATCCTCCTGTCAGACAACCTCTCCAAAGTACAATAGGACTAGTAAGTAACATCTTAAACATACACTACTGTTTCATAGCTTTTAGGTTGGTATGGTAAATTCTCTTCTGATAGTGTCAGCTTTATTTAATTAATACAGTCAAGCAGTAATACTGTGAATTTAATACAATGTATATAATTAATAGTGTCACATGATCCTTCTGAAAAAATAGTATTCCAATGTACTGATTCTCTCCTCAAGCTGCTTTTTTTTAATATAAAACATTTTAAATAAACATATTTTTAGTATTCTTGATGTATGAAAAGTTTATTTTTAAGAGCATAGTATTTATTTGAAAAAAAAAAAAGTTTGCTCTTTGATGATTGCTAACAATCAGACATGTTTCTTTAGAGCAAAAAGAATTTGTGCAAAAAAGTATTCTCACTGAGCGTTGTCCAACTGTGGTCCAACACGTCATTTAAGTTTTCAAATAAGCCTAAAAGACTTGATTAGCTGCATCAGGTGCATTTAATTAGAGAGTTGAATATATAATTTCTTTTTATATCCTCCTCTATAGCCTACATATAATAGAAGTTGTTTGCTGAAAAACCTTTTTGTAGCAGAAATAAAGCTATGATTAGGCTCACCCGGATTTTTCTCAGAACTCCGCAGATGTTTAGCCTATCATTAATTCTGTTTATTTACTTGAGTAAACGTGTGTAAATCTATATTTATTCAGTTTTTAAATTAATTTCAGTAATATTATTGACTAATGTGAAAATGTTCGTCTGATTTATGTACAATGAGGTTTGTACAGTAATATTTTCTGTCTTACTAGATATGTTATATGAAAAACTTATTGGATTTGCATTTTAAACATTAAATAAAACTTAAAAATATATTATTTTTATATTTCATATATTAAGGTTTTAGTTATGATACTCCCAAAATAATTCTGCAGAAATCCGCAGACTTCCACCAAAATTTTCAGCAGAAATAGCAAAAAAACATCTGCAGATTCCTCCTGGCCCTAGCTATGATATATTAAATGTGGTGTACAGTGTGACATTTTAGTTGACGAAACTTAGTTTAATTTGCATGTAATGTGGTATCTGAAGATTTGTACATATATTTAGATACACATTTATACTAACACAATGATACTAAAAACCAAAAAAAACATTCATTATGATTTCACAAGGTATTTAACTTTCAAATGGCTTTTCTAAAAATTAGTGCTCAGACACACTCTTTAAGTTTAAATTAAATTACACATTTTAGCTAGTCACTTGCATAACACATACTCAAGTTATATGTCATGAAACAAATAATATATATTTGTGGTAATATGAACTGCTGCAATGCTAATCTTTCTCCTTTTGGTTTCTTGCTTTATTTAAGGGTTCCTACAACAAGGATTAGATTTGGCTACTGCAGTCCCGGTTTGGACCAGCCTCACTTGTGAAGATTAAAGATGAAGACAACATACAAGAACAATTTAGAGAATGGCAACACACTTTTTATTCCACCTATTTATCCCCTTTTATGTGTAAGCAACATTCCACAAGATAAAACAAAACTAAATGGCAGGTTATTTCTTTTCATTTTGTCTGTTTTCTTGGAACATTGTACACAATTTACAACCAGTTTTATATTTATACAGTATATATATATATATATATATATATATATGTATATATTTATATATATATATGTATGTATGTATGTATATATATATATATATATATATATATATATATATATATATATATATTAGGCAAGAAAATGTTATGTTTTCTTCTGGAGAAAGTCTTATTTCTTTTATTTCGGCTAGAATAAAAACAGTTTTGAATTTTTAAAAAAACATTTTAAGGTCAATATTATTAGCCCCTTTAAGGATTTTTTTTCGACTGTCTACAGAACAAACCATCGATATACAATAACTTGCCTAATTACCCTAACCTGCCTAGTTAAGCTAATTAACCTAATTAAGCCTTTAAATGTCACTTTAAGCTGTATAAAAGTGTCTTGGAGAATATCTAGTCAAATATTATTTACTCAGTTATTAGAAATGAGTTATTAAAACTATTGTGATTAGAAATGTGTTAAAAAATATTTCCGTTAAACAGAAATTAAGGGATTATATATATATATATATGACAAAATCTGTTTTGTGTCGTGCATTAGAGTTTGCTTAAAAAAAATGGTTATCTCTGAGGAAGTATTGTTATTTTATATTATTGATGTGTTATTAGTTCAGAGGAGATTGCAAATTATTGAATGCCATTTATAAAAAAAATGTAAAAAAAATTGACTACAGACTTTAATAAAATTTTATCAGACAATTATTTTAATTTGTATGATTTTATTTACTACTGTAAATATTGTTTGCTTGGTATTTATTTTGTGTTTGTGTACTCTTATTATTGTAACTCCCTGAGGAAAGTCTTTTGGATACTGAACACATGACTGGTATTATTTTGTATTTTACAATTATAGTCTTGGAAACATGCATTTTCTTTAAAACTATTTAAGAAATTATAAGCATTATAATATGTGCTGACACAAGTTATTTGTGTTTTTACTATAGTCACCCTTTGTGTACATGTTTTGAAGTACTTTTAAATATTCCTATGGTCTTAATGTAAATGCTGCAATGGACTTTGTATTTAAAATCTTTATTGCACAGTAGTTCAGCCATGGTTATAGTACAACTTGTTGGTTTTGTTTTAAACGTGGTAAAACATGGTTATGTGTGATAAAAGTATGTTAATCTATCTGTATGTTTGTGAAAATATTAATAAATCTTTAACTGTTATTGAGAGTGGTGTGTCGTGTTTATTATAAATAAGCAGCTGCTGCAGCTAGTGGTCCATAAGTATGAGCAAAACGCCTCAGAACATCGCCTCCGCGGAGCGGCCGGTATTTCCGGTTGCGTCGTCCTAACATCGGCCGGACAGCGTTTCCGATCATTTGCCGACGTCGCGGCGACATTTTGCCAATTAGCAAACGCTCCCTGAGCGACATCGCACCGATGGAATTTTGAAAATCGGCACGACGTCGGCCCAACGTATGTGTGCTGTCTGGGATAGGATGTACTGTAATAAATCTATTTAGGTTATAACCTAAATAAATAGATAATAGATATACACTGTAAATTGCTGGGTCCCACACCATTCGTACATTCATATTCATGTTAGATTGAGCATAAAACAGTCAAGCTCCCCCACCCCTCACCCTTCCTTAAAAACCCTTAAAAATCAGGCCCGGCTCCAACTTGGAACTCTAGGGTTGGCCATGTGACATTTCGGGTGGGCCAACAAAAAAAAAAAAAAATGTATATATATATAATGATAACAATTCCATGTCCCAAGAGCCAGTTTCTGTGCCCGACGATCCGGTTGTTGTGGTCCTAACCTTCGACCACCACCCGTTCTACAATGCACCGGCCCCTTACGGCTCCCCCTGCAGGTGGTGGGCCTGCGGGAGAATGGTCCCACGTTGCTCCTTCGGGCTAGGCCCGGCCGGGTTCCGTGGGAAAAAATCCGGCCACCAGGCGCTCGCATACGAGCCCCAACCCCAGGCCTGGCTCCAGGGTGGGGCCCTGGCTGCGCCATACCGGGCGACGTCACAGTTCTTGATGTTATAGAACACATAAGGGGTTTTTGAACCACACTTAGTCTGACCTGTCACCTAAGACCTGTTTGCCTTGGAAGACCCTACCAGGGGCATTAGCCCCTGACAACATAGCTCTTAGGATCACTCAGGCACTCAAACCCCTCCACCACGATAAGGTGGCGGTTCGGGGAGGAGTGGCAAAGCAGCTCGGGTGGATGAGATTCACCCTGTGTATCTTAGGTCTCTGGATGTTGTGAGGCTGTCGTGGCTGACACGTTTTTACAACATCGCATGGAGGTTGGGGACAGTACCTTTAGACTCGGCAACTGGGGAAGTGGTTCCCATTTTTAAGAAGGGAGACCGGAGGGTGTGCTCCAACTATAGGGGGATCACACTCCTCAGCCTCCCGGGGAAAGTCTATGCCAGGGTAGGAGGAGAGGAGGATCCGGCCAATGGTTGAACCTAGGATCCAGGAGGAACAATGCGTTTTGCGTCCGGGCCATGGTACACTGGACCAGGTCTATACCATCACTAGGGTGCTCGAGGGTTCATGGGAGTATGCTCAACCAGTCCACATGTGTTTTGTGGATTTGGAGAAGGCATTAAATCGTGTCCCTCGCGGCATTCTGTGGAGGGTGCTCGGGGAGTATGGGGTCAGAGGCGATCTGTTGAGGGCCGTCTCGTCCCTGTATGAATAGATTAGGAGTCTGGTTCGCATTGCCGGCAATAAGTCACATTTGTTTCCAGTGCATGTCGGACTCTGGCAGGGCTGCACTTTGTCACCAATTCTATTCATAATTTTTATGGACAGAATTTCAAGGCGCAGGCTTGGGCTGGAGGGGGTCCGGTTTGGGGAACACAGGATTTCATCTCTATTATCCTCCAAGTCCGAGGCCATGGTGCTCCACCGGAAAAAGGTGGTTTGGCATCTCCAGGTTGGAGGAAAGTCCTTACCCCAGTCGGAGGAGTTTAAGTATCTCGGGGTTTTGTTCACGAGTGAGGGAAAGATGGAACGTGAGATTGACAGGCGGATTGGTGCAGCGGCAGCAGTAATGCGGTCGATGTACCGGTCTGTGAAGTGAATTTTATACTCTTTAAAGTGTGAAGTTAATCTATATATTCAAATTGTATTTGTATAATCTGCTTGTAGACATACATACTATTAGAAGAATTAAGGTTTTACAAGAAATGGATAAGCTTTATGGTTAACCTAGGTGGAATTTGGGGTCAGGGGTTAACCTAGGTGAAAATTGGGGTCAGGGGTTAACCTAGGTGGAAATTGAGGTCAGGGGTTAACCTAGGTGGAATTTGTGTGACATATGTAGATCAAAGGGAAAAATAGTTGCAAAAGAAGTATATAAGCAGGCCAGAACATCAGTGAGACATAATTTTTCAGACAGAGATGCTACTGGGGGTCTCCTGAAAATTCTCCTTTGTTGTCGACAATAAAGTATACTCTTCTGATATTCATAACCTCCAGACTGAGTTTGATTCATTAAGAGAAAAACCAAAAACCACTACATCTGTTGTGGTAAAGATGGAGCTGAGCCGAAAGGCAAAGCTCTCGATTTACCAGTCAATCTACGTTCCTACTCTCACCTATGGTCATGAGCTTTGGATCATGACCGTAAGGACAAGATCTCGCATACAAGCGGCCGAAATGAGTTTCCTTCGAAGGGTGGCAGGACGCACTCTTATGGATAGGGTGAGGAGCTCTGACACCCAGGAGGAGCTCGGAGTAGAGTCGCTGCTCCTCCACCGAGAGAAGTCAGCTGAGGTGGCTCGGGCATCTGTTTCTGATGTCTTCTGGATGCTGTTTGATGCTGGATGCTGTGTTCCAGGCATGTCCCACCAGGAGGCGGCCTCAGGGAAGACCCAGGACATGCTAGAGGCACTATGTCTGGGGATAGGGAAGTCTGGGGTTCTCTCCTAAGACTGCTTCCCCCCGGAAAAGCGGCAGACGATGAATGAATGAATGATAACAATTATTTTAAAGGTAATAAATTTATAGCATTTTAAAAATAATGTATTTATCTTTTTAAATGTTCTCTGTCATTTTAATCGAAGCAAACTAACTGATTAAGTGAAAATAAGTGATGTTTGCCAAGATATGTAAGAAAACTCCAGAAAAACATGTAGCTCTCCATGAACTATATAGGTGATTCTATAGTTGCAGTTACATTTAGTGACCAAAGCAATCAGGGTATCTTCCGAATCAGGGTAACTTCCGTCCAATCCATATCCGTTTTCAAACCAAAAAAGGAAAATGAAGAAAACGGCCATTTTTACGTTTTTCATTTGCTCACAGCAAAAGACGTCAAACTCTTTTTTGAATAGATTACTCTTTACATTCCTTTTCCTCCCATCGCCACAGTATCCAATGGTGTTTATGTAGAGCCAACCACAGGATTCACATCAGGAGAGCTTGAACTCCACTCTATATTTGACCAGATAATAGTGTGAGGAAGGCTCCATCTTCTTCATCATAAACATCTAAAAGAACCTTTCTAAACAGTTCTGATGGTAGCTGAATTAAAGACAAAACGCACGCACACACACACACACACACACACAGACACACACACACAAACACACACAATAATAAATGATGAAAATTCATTTATTCATTTTCTTGTAGGCTTAGTCCCTTTATTAATCCGGGGTCGCCACAACGGAATGAACCGCCAACTTATCCAGCAAGTTTTTATGCAGCGGATGTCTTTCCAGCTGCAACTCATCTCTGGGAAACATCCACACACACATTCACACACACACTCATACACTATGGACACTTTAGTCTACACAATTCACCTGTACCGCATGTGTTTGGACTGTGGGGTAAACTGGAGCACCCGGAGGAAACCCACGCGAACGCAGCGAGAACATGCAAACTCCACACAGAAACGCCAACTGAGCCAAAGCTTGAACCAGC